CTCGTGTTCATACGCCAGTGTAAAACGCATGCAGAGCTACCTGTTTCAGTCGTGAAGTCACCCGCTCCTGGGGGTGTGAGGAGCAGCCGGGCAGACCTCCAGGCCCACCTGAGTCCTTCCCCTGGCAAGTCTTCCAAAGTAACTCTGGCCTACAGCAGCCCCTCCCTCACTCCAGCACCTAATGTTTGAATGGTTTTTGATATTTTAATACTGTCCTCTACTGTTTTTCTTTCCTAACTTGCTGATAAGCTCCTGAGGGCAGAAAGTGTCTCTTGTATCTTCTTAAATGCATAGCCCTTAACTATTTTGTCTCCCAGGCTCTAAATTATACTCATTTATTAATATTCTGCCCCTGATGTGAAGGATGGGCTATTTGTACTGCCCATGTTTTCTGCATGGGAACCTCCGTGGCCACTGCTTCCCAGCATGCAGCTTGGTGTCAGGTTCTGCACCCTGTCCCGTCACAGGACCCTGGACTCCTCTGCCTGTCTGGGGAGGACTGACCCAGTGCTTTTGCTGAGAAGCCCCACCCAGTGTGAGCCTCTAGCTGGGCTCAGTAGGTAATCTGTGTGAGTGTTGAAATATTTGAACCAATTGTCCCTCCTCCAAATAGGGTCCTTTGTCCTGGAGGTTCATGGAAACATGAGCTGCCCATCTGCCTTTGGGCCCAGGTTTCTCAGGTTTCAACAGGCTTGTTTAGGATACCAAAGGGATTTTTATTTTCGTATAGGAAAGATCCAGAGACTGGGAAGGTGGGTAGGAGATAAACAAGGTGAATTTTATTTTGGAAACTAGCTGATAAAATATGCACATGTGGGGGGCAGAATAATTTAGTTCAAGGAGACACTTGAAGACCTGTGCTTTCAGGCGTAATATGTGAAAGGCTAGTGGAGTTTGCCCTTGCATCGTGATAGAGGGATAAAAGCACCATGAAATTCTAGGTAGAAAGCACATTCTGATCTGTCTGTAGTTCAGCCAGCAAGTATTTGTTTCATGTGTGATATTTGTTCATCACCTTGTTAGGTCTGTGGGCAGATAAGATGTAAGAACCTTGTTTTCCAGAAGCTTACAGGGTTTCCTGGTGCTGAGTGCACGGTAAGAAATAGCGATAAGTATGGCCTGATCTGAGTGCAGCCTCAGTGCAGGGAGAAGACTTGTCCTCAATATGGATGGAAGGCTGCCAGCCTGGGAGCTTGACTTAAGTGATACTGGAATTCAGATAAGGGAGAGGGAGAGCCCTGCTAGGGTGGAGGAGCCTCCCGAGAGAGGCAGGACTTAAAGGATAAGGGGGATTAGATGGGGAGGGGGTGGAAACCTAGGGGTCAGGTGTGAGGAAAAGAGAAGGTGCCAGAAAGAGGCGTTTGGACTTGATTCTCCAGCCTGAGAAAGGGCTCCTGCCCTGGCCGTTTCCCAGGATTATGGGAACAAAGGAGAATCCACCATTTTCACCCCAGACATGTTCCCCCCACCTCCTTCCTCCTCATCTCTGCCAAACCGGAAATGGCATTGTCATCCTCAGGTCCTTTCTTTGCATCACCTCCTGTGATCACTTGATCTGAGCCTGAAGGACCTCCTCATTTGTTTAATCCTACTCCACTATTAATTAATTATTTTTTTTTTGCTCCTTTTAACCCTATAATCCTCCCTCTTCTGAGTCATCTTTCTTGTACCAGCCTCAATTATATTTCTAAACCACAAATATAATCCTGTAAGTCCTCTGCTTAAAAACTCCTGGGCCGGCTGAGTGTGCCTTGGTTAAGAGTTGACTTGGGACGCCAGCTCTGAGCAGCAGGGCCCTGGTTCAGATCCCACATGGGGGCCAGTGACGCTGCGCCCTCTACAGCTAAGATGGTGAACAACAGCTCGACCTGGAGCTGGGCTGCTGTGAGTTGCTGGCGATGGCTTAGACTGCAATGGGGCTGGCTGGCAGCAGGCGTGCGCTTTCGTGAGCTGCCATGAGCCACTGTGAGCGGCTGTCCAATAGCCAGCGAGCAACTGCCTCAGCCACGAAGAGTGCAATGATAATACCAACATGGGCCAGTGAAGCAACGTCCTCCACAACTAGACTGAAGAACAAAACAACAGCAACTTGTCTGTTCCCCTTCCCCAATTCCCCAGCGCTGTTCCCTCCCCCAATTCCCTAATAAAATCTTTAAAAAACAAAACAACAACAACAAAACTACTGATGATCCTCCACTGTCCACAGGACAAAGTCTAAATAAACTTCATGCCCTTTATAACCTGGCCACAGCCTCCTCCTCCTAGTTGTGTTCTGGCTCTGAGTGACCATTTAGGAGAAGTACAAGTATTGTATAGTATTTAAATTTTTCATAATTGACAGTGCAAACAGGATAGACTATTCAATTCACTTGGGATGTGTGGTGCCAATATACTTTCCTTATTAACCATTCATAGCTAGAGCACAGAAGCATTTATATTTATAATGATCTCATATCACCAAGGAAAAGTTGAAATATGCATAGTAACTCATATTTTAAAAGGCAACAGAAAGATAAATGACACCTTTGAGCAGGATTTCCGCCCAATATGGCAAAAAGTTTTTTCAAAGCATCTGGTGCTTAAAGAGCTAAGCCTCAGGTATCTGGGAAACCCACTTGTGATGCCCAATAAAGGAAATGTGAGGTGGTCAATAAGCATCCATAGGGGGCCGGCCGAGGGGCGCGATGGTTAAGAGCTGGCTTGGGACGCCAGAGGGCCCCGGTTCGGATCCCACATATGAGGGCCAGTGACACTGCCCTCCACAGCTAAGATGCTGAACAACAGCTCAACCTGGAGCTGGGCTGCAGTGAGCTCCATCGGCTGGCGTTGGCTGCAGCCCCTGTGGCAGTGGGTTGCCATGGGCTACCATGTGTAGCCAGCAGCCAGCATCCGCAGTGTGCAGCCGTCCAGAAGCCGGGGACTGATCTGCCTCGCCCAGGAAGAGTGCAATGATGGTGCCAACTTGGGCCAGTGAAGCAACATCCTCCACAACTAGACTGAAGAACAAAACGACAGCAACTTGTCTGTTCCCCTCCCCCCAATTCCCCAATAAAAATCTTTAAGAAAAAAAAGCATCCATAGGCCTGACAGGTCCCATCAGGAAGGCCACGGGTGAGCACGCAAGAAAAGTCACAGAACAGGCTCGTCTCTGCTGGCTTCTGTGTGGGGTTGGGGCCCAAGGCCTTTAGCATCGAACATCCCTTTCCTTTTCGGGTCGCTGATTTGAATGGCATTTCTTGGATATGGTGGCAGGTTCTTTTTTGGCCGAGCACAGGGAAGATAGGAAGCCAACCCAGACACACTTTGAAATTGGCTGTCCTGAGCATGTTTCAGAAGTGGGAGACAACAAGGGGTCATCTCTCCACAGAGGAAGTGAGAGGCAGAAGAATGACGAAGAGAATCCAGGGGCCTGTGATGAATGGACCAGTGGGGAGACCGCCTTCCCTCAGAGAGAGCAGATCTCTTAGGAGATTTTGGGGGCAGTGATGGCAGTTTTAATGGGGAACAAGGGTCATTGTGGGCAACTCATAAAGAGGCAGAATCCTCAGAGACTTTGAGCAGAAGGGGATATGTCCTTGAAACCGGAGGCCAAAGGAGTCCAGGGCTCGTGCTGCCTGCACTGCTTAGCTGATAGTCTGACACAGGAACGGGGTGTTTAAAAATAAGCGTTTATCACCAGAGCACCGGTGGTCTGAGAAGGCAGCGGGTTAACACCTCCAAAAACTGCATTAACATTCTCAGAGCGGGTTGGGGTTTTTAAGGGGAAACTGGGCGTTCCTTCACGATGCTTCCAGGGGTCTGCACGGAGCCTTCCCTCTGGCCAAGTGATTCTGTGGTGGAGTCAGCAACCCAGAAACAACGATGGGACTAGCCTGGTAGAATATTGAGAGTGTGATCAGTAAGCCTAAGGGTATTCATCATAAGTTTCAGGGTAATTTTCTAAAACAGAGAACTGGGTGGGACGGGACATCCAAGCTTAAGGCACAGGGGGATGATCTATTGTTAAGCTATAGGTAGGGCAAGGAAAAGTGAGGCAGGGACATGGAGAGGCCTCTACTCGGGGGGTGCCAACCGGGCCCTGCTTCATCCTCACTGGGTGTCCATCCCTGTGACACCCACGTCCCCCTGCAGCACATTGTTGGGGTGGGGGAAGGGGAGAGTGATGCAGGGCAGAGTGACTTTTACTGACTAGCTTGATTCAATCCGCAGGTGCATGGTCGACACCACACGAACTTGCCTCAGGAGGTGTCGCCCAGATTAGTGGCTGGTTGAGCTATTCCTCCCGTGGGTGGACCAGGTCACCTCTTTCCCCTTGTTGTGAAGGGGGGGCTTTTGGGGGGGTGAAAGGAGGCAGTGCTGCCTGTAGAGCCGGAGGCTCCCGGGATTATCACAGTCTTGTGTCTCCTTCCCTTAATCCTCCTGTGGAACAGTGAGTAGCCTGAGAAGCCTGAATTGTGCCTTGTTAGTTCCTGGCTGTTCTGCCACATATAAAACATGGATAAGCCTTGTTATCCAGTGAGTTTCTGCAGTCAGTGCTTACTGAGGTCAAACTGTTGGTGCAAGGGAAAACAAAGCTGCAGGAAACATGGAACTTTCTTACACCTTCTTGAAAATGCAAGTCATGTTGCCTGGGAAATACTTCTCTCCCTTAGTGCTCTGCACACCACCAGCATTGGAGCGATGGAAGAGGCAACTGGTGATTCCGAGAAAGTGCTCAAATAAAAAGCACTGTTTCTCTGCTGCCTCTAGGCTAGGTTTCTGGGAGTGCACATGGGCCAAAAGGAAACCTTGCTCAGCTTTGGGCAATGACTGTGCTGGGCTTCTGTGCATGCCTCCGGGTGTCCTGGCAGCCCTGGGGGAGGGCGTGTGCGGGCTGTGTGCAAAGACTCCCAGTGCCGAATGCAGTGTGATGAGTGAGAGGGTGCCAATTGGTTAGAAGGGAGTAGATAAACAAGAGCAAATATGCGTATAGCTGTGTGCAGCCTGCCGGGTTCCAGAAGCTTGCTGCCTGACAGACTCGGCAGCAGCCTCTCCCCGGCTGGCTCAGGAGCAGAGGGGGAACCTGCAAGACTGAACACAGAGGATGCCTTCCCCTTTCTAGTTAGGAGACACTTTAAGCATTTCCTTCTTTGTTGACCACGTAGACTGGTGAAGGTGAATTGCTTTAGGGGTGAAGGTGAGACTGGACGCAGCCATGGAGAAAGCCGGGAGTGAGACGCCCGGGAACCCTGAGCAGTCCTACCTGGCGACTCTGTGTGACTCCCAGGTGACCCTGCTGTCTGTCCACAAGCAGTGGTCCTTCAGGAGGAGCCCTGGGGTCAGGGGCCCCTCCAGGCCGGCGCCTTCGGAGGAGGAAGGCTCTCCCCCATCACTGGAGGGAGAATGTTCCCAGAAGGTTTTGAATGGAACACGGGAAATCAGTTCCAGTCAGGTCAGTGGGATTGCAAAAGGGCTAAAAAACCAAGAGGGGGTTGGATCTGGTTTACGGGTGGAGGTTTCTACCATGTCTTACTTACATAGGAAGCGTCAGGGGTGCAGGTCTGGGGTGGGGAGTAAGTATGAATATAGTTCTGAGCCAGGAGTCAAGGTAAATTCTTCAGAGATTAAGTCCATGGTGGGTAAATCTTGGGTTTATTGCTTCTTATTTTCAGGATATTTTAGGGCACCCCAGTCAGGACCCCCTCTTGTTTTGAGAGCTGTTACTTTCTGCTCTAACAAAACTATCCTCTGCACTAAAAAAAAAACAAACAAACAAAAAAAAGATATTTTATAAGCCTTTGTAAAGCAAAAGTTTTCCAAACTGCAAATCAGACAAAACTGTATCTTGCCCTCTTTTTTTTTTAATGTGTACCTTATTTTGTTAACCTCCACATTTTAACTCAATAAACATTTTGAAAATGTTGCTGCAAAATGAAACTAATGAAAGTTTTGTTAACCCAAAGATCTGGTAACTTCAAAAGTAAGGTAGTGTGACGTTTTGTGAAAATAGCGCCTTTTAGTAGGAATTCTGGGTGGACTGGTGGTCTGTAGGGAGTCTTCATTGAGATAGGTAGGTGAAAAGAAAAAATACTAGTTAGATACAAAGGAAAGCTTTTTATAAGTGCTCTGCCCCTTTAGGAGATACTTTTGTTTCTTCTAGTGTTGTTCAAAAAGTCCCCCAAACTAAAGAAAATTTTGTGAAAAGATTTTTGAAATGTACTATGAAAGAGATTTATGTATGTTGAAAGAGGTGTATTGAATGTGCATTTATGCAGTTCACAGTCAGCTTTTATATTTTTAGCTGAGTGTATAACATAGCAAAATAGTAAAAAAAAATTTGGAAAATGCTTGAAAGCACTTCTTTAAAATGTTCAAACTTCTGCTTTACAAAATCTAGCCTCTGTCTGAGATATTTGAATGTGAAGTATTCTGATCATTATTAGTTGTCAGTGCTAATCTCCCATGACTAGGGGTGCAGTTGGAAGCTGACCAGGGTGAGGGCTGTGGCAGCTCTGGTCGTGTGCTCTGCCCTTGCCAGACTTGGGACCTGGCAGGTGAATCTTGGTCTCTTTGACCTTCAGATTCTTCATTGCCAAGTGGAATAAGCCCTGCCTCACAGAATAGTGAAAACACTTTGTAGAGCGCCATATAAATGCAAAAGGACATTGTTTCTGCCACAATTACGATTTTCAGTAGAATTTCCACCTCGGAGATATGTTTGGTGCTCTGTGACTATCTGGTTAGAACTATGTCAGACAATTACTCTGTCCGAGCACAGTTGTACCTTTTTTTTTTCTGATTATAAAAGTAACGTCATTATACAAAACAAATTTAAGATGAGACAAGGGGGGTATAGAAAAGTATAAAGAAGGAAATGAAAGCAACCAAATGCCCCAGCCATTTTCCCACTGCAAATATGAATATGTGTAGGTATATGTGAAATTGTGTGTGTATATATAAATATATGTATATATATATATATATACACATATATATATATATATATATTTATTTATACACACACACACACACACACGTATGATTATTGTTTTTTACAAATATAGGATTAGGTCATACCCAGGATTCTATGCCCTGTATTTTGTGGACAGTTATAGAAGTACACATACACACACATCTATATCATCTATATTAATTGCAGTCCCACTTTTAAATTTAGGATTATTTTTAGAAAGAATTTAATTATCCTCAAATGCGGGAAATTTGTAGTGGCTGGTTATGATGATAAAAACCAAACTACAAGTCAATTACAGTTGAGTACTTTTTCACTGTTAACAGTGTATTGACACAAAGTCTGTTACAAATCAATCTTTGGATCTACTTGAGAGCTAACTTATTTAGTACTTGGTATGCGGAAGGGACCCTTTAACAGACAGAAAGCTGAGATAGAGAGGTTAGGTAATTTGCTAGAAAAATTTAATCCTAGGTCTGTCTGAGGACAAGACACTTGCTTTTCTATTGGGACATTCAATATACTGGGTGAGATAGTTTTGAAAATATCTAAGTATTGTAGAGCTGCTAATGTCTCGTGATGAATGGAAAGTTAGCTTACAGGTGGTGCATCGTTCACAAAAGATGCAGGCAGCTGCTATGAATGACACATTTCAAAATTGTGGTCGTGGTGAGTGGAGTTGTGTGCTTGTGTTTTGCATTGCTTATGCAAAATTTAGATTGAGATCATGATGTTGAGCAAGCTTTAAGTTTCTTCTGTGTTTTGGACTGGCAGAGGGGGAAAATGTCTTTTAAGGCATAACCGGTAAAAACATGAAGTCTGGAGAGGGCATCCCTCTCTTCCCCTGGGTATTATTAGCAGGCTCAGCCGGTTGGGCTAAGCCTGGTGAGGTTCCTAGACAATTACCCACCTCTCCCAACAGGAGCTAACCGAAGACTGAAAGGCAGGGGCCTCAGTGCCTGGCCTGAGTGTTCTGGCCCCGGCTTCCCCAGACCTGGGCTACCCCCTGGGCCATGGTTTCTCTCAGGCCCAGGACAATGGAGTGGAAAGGCACCGACTCTTGCCTCTCAGAGTCCCCCTTTGGGGGAGGAGGATGGGGGTAAAGGTGACTGGGGACTTGTTACAATTGGAGAGTGTAGAATTTCCCTTTCCTCCCAGAAACAACTGCCCAAGACTCCTTACCCATGGTCTTACTGACTGCTTTGGCAACCTTGGCGGCTGTTTTTATTTGTCTTTATAATCCCTGTCTCTGAGAGTGTATCAGTCCGCAGTAATCAAGCTGTTGAATGAGTGAACAAATAAACAGAAAGTAGATTTATATTGTTAGGTTGTCGACTTAGCCATTTTAGAAGGCAAGATACAGGATTGTATGTTGGGTGAGGGGTGGTTAGGTAGGATTTTATTTTTGCCTAGATGAAATCAAGACGACCCAGCTGGCACAGGTATATCTATGCCTGCCAAAATAAAGGGAAAACATTACATGTAGTCGGTGATCTACAATAGTCGCTTAAAGAAGTCACTACCTATTTGTCATGGAATCAGCAGCAGCACTATAATGTTATTTGTTTTTCTGAAGAACTTATCTTTGTATTTCTTTAGTTTTCTCTGAAATTAGTATCTGCTGGATATAAACATCAATAACAGAATATAGAAATGTGGATTTGTTTCCCCTCTAGACAAATAGGGTGTACTGTATACTCATACAGTTCTGTACCTTTAATCTAACATGGATGTCTTTCCATGTCCATACATGTAAATTCACATTTTTTTTAAAACCACTGCATAAAACTCTATTGGATGGATACTTTACTAGCTAGTTCTCTATAGAAGAATATTTAGATGGTTTTCACTATTCAAATGTAACAATGAACATTCTTATGTAATTGTACATATGATAAAATTCCCAGAAGTGGAATTACTGGGATAAAGACAATGGGTATTTAATATTTTAATAGGTACTGCTTAATTACTCTCCAAAAAAGTTTTACAAATATATTTTTCTACAAACCGTGGTTAAGAATTATTTTTCCCTACATGCTTACTTACTGTATCATCAAACTTTTAAATTTTGCCCTATTGAGTGAAAAGTAATATCTTATTTTCCTCCTCATTCCCTCCCATCTGTCCCCGTTTTTTGAGATACAATTGACATATAGTACTGTATAAGTTTTTGGGTTTTTTTGCAAAGATTTTATTATTGGGGAATTGGGGGAGAGGAACAGACAAGTTGCTGTCCTTTTGTCCTTTTGTTCTTCAGTCTAGTTGTGGAGGACGGCTCTACACTGGCCCATGTTGGTATTATCATTGCGCTTTTCCCAGGTGAGGCAGATCTGTTGCCGGCCATTGGACGGCTGCTCACGGCGGCTCACGGTGGCTCACGAGTACGCCGGCCAGCCCCACTTCAGCCTACACTATCGCCGGTGACTCTCGGCAGCCCAGTTCCAGGTCGAGCTGTTGTTCACCATCTTAGCTGTAGAGGGTGCAGCGTCACTGGCCCTCATGTGGGATCCAAAACGGGGCCCTGCTGCTCAGAGCTGGCGTCCCAAGCCAACTCCTAACCAACACTCCAGTCAGCCGGCCCAGTACTGTATAAGTTTAAGGTGTACAGCATAATGATTTGACTTATATTTATTATGAAATGATTACCAAAATAAGTTTAGTGAACATCCATCATCTCATATAGATACAAAAAAACCACAAAAACCCAAAAAACCCCAAAAGTGGTCGTTGTTTTTTTATGATGACTCTCAGGATTTATTTTCTTAACAACTTTCATATATACCTTGTAATTGTGTTAACTATAGTCATCATGTTGTACATTACATCCTTAGTACTTATTTATCTTATAACTGGAGGTTTGTATTTTTTGACCACCTATATTCAGTTCTGTCTCCCCCCCACCACCTGCCTCTGGTAACCACACATTTCTTTTTTCCATGAGTTTAGTTTTTTCTTTCTTCTTTTTTCTTTTAGATTCCACATATAAGTGAGATAATACAGTATTTTTCTTTAACTGACTTACTTCATTTAGCATAATGCCCTCAAGGTCCATCTATTGCAAATGTCAGGATTTCCTTCTTTTTTGTGAATGAATTCTCTCTCTCTCTCTCTCTCTCTCTCTCTCTCTCTCTCTCTCTCTCTCTCTCTCTGTGTGTGTGTGTGTGTGTGTGTGTGAGAGAGAGAGAGAGAGAGAGAGAGAGAAAGAGAGAGAGAGAGATTTTCTTTAGCCATTCATCCATCAATGGACACATTTTTTTTCATGTTTTGGCTTTTGTAAATAATGCCATAATGAGCATGGGGTGCAGATATCTCTTAAACATAGTGTTTTCATTTCCTTCAGGTAAATACCCAGAGGTGGGATTGCTTGGTCATATGGTAGTTCTATTTTTAATTTTCTGAGGAACTTCCATACTGTTTCCTATAGTGGCTGTGCCAATTTACAATCCCACCAGCAGTGCACCAGGGTTCCCTTTTCTCCACAT